AGTCAAAGGGGTTCCCCATGGCAGCAATTTTAGCGGAACGGAACGAAAACGGATAATACATAACCCGTAAAGATCTGTGTGCAAGAATGGATCATAGGTTAGGTCCGAAAATGATTAGAACGTCACTTGCTTTCAGCGAATATAATGAACAACTATTTACAATATTTACAGAGTGCTAATGTCCGGGGGTTCTCCCCGCGCGTATCGGAGAGATTCCAATAGCGAGATCCGCGAGCAGCGAAAGTCCGACAGTTCACGCGAAGTAGGAAAAGCCGATCGGTTGCAATCTCTTGACACACAGAACAAAAACGTTAAGCGAGACTAGATTTCGCGCAAAGAGCAAGGTGGCCAGTGTGCCCACTCTTTTATATGTACTATAAAGGCTTCGCAAACCTTCGATGCTCCAGATCGCCGATATAGCGGGTGACAGACCAATCAAGCCTACGACATATCATTTGTAACACTATATAGGTTACAACACATATCATTTGTAACACGATCTGGAGCATCGAAGGTTCGCGAAGCCTGAACTGTCGGACTTTCGCTGCTCGCGGATCTCGCTATTGGAATCTCTCCGATACGCGCGGGGAGAACCCCCGAACATTAGCACTCTGTAAATATTGTAAATAGTTGTTCATTATATTCGCTGAAAGCAAGTGACGTTCTAATCATTTTCGGACCTAACCTATGATCCATTCTTGCACACAGATCTTTACGGGTTATGTATTATCCGTTTTCGTTCCGTTCCGCTAAAATTGCTGCCATGGGGAACCCGGCTATGAAAAAGCGGAACAGAATCATTCTGATTGGTTAGCCTTTCATCTGGTTACCTTTCCGTTACTGTTCCGTTCCGCTGTTTCTATCTCCATCGGGATGCACCCTGATGAGCGTCAAGCGTCAGCATGAAAATGCACCTTAATTTAATCAGCGCAAGCGCTCACTGAGCAGTTTTCTCCGCTGGACGCGGCCAAGAATGTTCCTTGGTGTGGATGCGCGGTTTTCTCGTAACCTTGGTGAAAATGCGTTGGCAGTCATTGAGACTGTAGTTGCGTTCGTAAACGGCCGATTGTAAAACAATGTGAAACGATCGCGGTACAACCTGTCGTGGTGCCGATAATTGAGCTTTAGCTCGTATCGTTCACGTGTTCGTTCTTTCCTTCTTTTTTTTACTTCAAGGAACTACGATCAGTTCGTGTTACAAATATGGCTTGGAAGGTAAAGCATTGTCTGTAGTTGAAAAGTACTGATTAATATCGTTAGCTTTACAGGGACTTCATATATAATGTAAACATTTGTTGAACGAGAAACTTAATCGCAACATTCAACATTGCAAATTGTATATCCTTCATGTATGTACAACACTTTGCATCGCTTTTCAGAGAATAGTTAAAACATCGACAAAAGAACTTGCGTATCGCGAGAAACATTTTCATGGTAGGTTAATTTCGCCACATATAATTTATTAACTTAAGAAAAATAGGTGTGTGTGTGTGTGTGTGTGTGTGTGTGAGTGCGTGCGTGCGTGCATGTGTGTATAAGAATACTTTATCAAAACTTGGTACGAAAATCCTGACTAGCGCTTTAAAACCAATATTACATTTGTTGTACGACAAATTTTTCAAACGTTTGATTGGCAAAACAGAAAATATATCTGAAGACTCAAGAATTTTTCCATTCTACAGCTAATCAACACGCTAAAAAATTTGTCGTACGACAAGTGTACTATTGGCTTAATATTGCTTTGCTTGCATATCTATTCACGAAGACTGTTATACCTATAATAATATACATTTATACTTTAATTTAGATGTTAGAGTTATCACAGATAAGCAAATAGCTTGTACTGCCTGTGGTAATCAATTAAGTGTTGAAACAAAACAAATCTTTCCTCATCCTTCCATTGGAGTACTGCTGTGTGAGGTAGGCTATGTTACATGCTCGTCGACACTATTTTGCATAGGAAATTAACTGTGTTTGTACTTAGAGTCTAAAGTATTAGAAGAAGTAAAAGCAGGGGATTCTTGTTTACTGATTACATTTTGTATTTTCATTTATAGGCATGCTTAGAAAATATAGAGGCAACATTTCATGGGATTGAAACCAAGAAACACTGTCTCATATGTAGTGATAACAGAAGATTGTACGTGTGCTGTAATAAAGACTGTTTCTCGGCGTTTTGCAAGGTGATGTATTTAATGTAACTTTTAGCGAGTGTATCAATGATTTAAGTACCACAGTATACGTGATTGTAAACAGTTTCTTACTTTTAGGGATGTATAAAGAGAAACTTCAGCTCCTCGTTGTTGGATGCAGAAGAGGACAGCTGGGAATGCTTCTCATGTAATCCCAAACCACTTTGGACTCTGAGAGCCATATGTGCTGCTGTAATGGATTCTCTTCCCAAGTGAGTGCGATTGTATGAATATTGCTCGTAAAATTCTAATTACAAATTTTTCTTTCTAACACATGTATATATTCATATGTTCCTTTAATATCATGGTTATATACTTCTTTATTGTAACATTTTTGTCATGTATATGTACATAGAATATAGATGTGCATATTGGTAGCTAATTGTTGCATTACTCTTTCTGTTGCTACACTAAAATGTTGAGATTTTTGAAAGCAATGCAAATTAATAAGTTTGTTGTAGAGTAAGTTGCACGATGTAACATTATAACATGCATTATTCTATAATTTAATGTGATTTAATTTTTTATTAATACTGTTAGTCCGTTCTGTTATAATATAATTTGACAGAAGAAGAAAGTTATGTATAAGCAAGACATGCAAAACCGAAGAGCAAAATAGAATATCGCGTTTTTAGCTACAGGACTGGCTGACAGATACTAAAAGTTCAAGATTAAAAGAGAATATGAAGGATATGCATGTACACCCAATACTTTGAATACGTCCGGAAAAAGGGAAGATATGTACATATGGAATGGATCTTCTGTTTCAGAAAGGGTAAGAAGACAAGCACCAAGATTCAAAAACGTATTTTACCATCTCAATTACAACAAATAGAGAAAACCAAAACAGTACAAAAAAAATTACAAATGTTGTGCGATACAGAGGATGAGAATTCTTCTGCGAAGTCATTAGTTCCTTCAAGATTCTCGCGGAAAGTAGATAATAAGAGTCGTACGAATTGTGTTACTGGCCTTGTTCAACAGAAAACGGTAGATCGAACAGATTCATCCAGTGAGAATTCGCCTGTCTCATATAAAAGAGATAAACGAAGTAAAAGCAAGAAACAAAGAACGAAATCCACACGAGAGTCTATCGATCGTTTCGAGCAGAAATCGTCAAGATCACTTGTAGAAAAAAAAGATACATCCAAGAGATGTAAAATATATAGTGATTCAAATGATTCTTCCGATTCATCATTGCAAGTGGTTACAGAAAAATGTACAAATAGATATAAATCTGAAAAGTTAGAGAAACGTAAAACGAATCGTGCAGATTCTTCTGATAGCGAGAACCACGAGAGCGATACAAGAAGAGCGTCGAGTACATCGAAGAGAACACCAAAAAATACTAAACAACAGAATAAGAAAATTGATGATTCTTATAATGCAAAGTTGAAGGACAGGGCGAGGAAACGTCATGACTCAACTAGCGAGTCCGAAAGCGAAGGAAATAAAAGTCGAGATAGAGGGAAGCATGCGGAAATGAGCCGGACGACGTCGCACGGTAATAATGACGAACGAAAACGCGACAAGTCGTCGAAGTCGCGACTTCCTAACATTCAAGAGGACGATTCGGATAACAGCTCTAGTAAAGAATTTCAGACAATAAAATTTCAAAAAGTGAATCGCAACAAGTACTCTACAAGGCAGTTGGCGGACTTGGAAACGGATTACACTAAGTCACCCAGCGTGAAAAATTCTGCGAATAAACACGAGAAACATATCGATGAACTCAAGGATATAAAAAAGATTGTAAGGGACTGCAAGATGATATGTTCAAATTTTCAGATGCATGTAGAAGCTATAGAGCAGCTATATGGCAAAAAGGATGAAGAGCAACTTATACTAAAGTGCCAAGAAAAAGTTGAAAAGTTGAGCACGATGGTGGAGGAAAAGCGAAAGAATTTAAGAACTTGTTATCACTTATGGTCCGGGAATAGAAAAAGATCTGCTAAAAAGAAATACAAAGTAAACAGTTCTAGCGATGATGAACAGTCTCCAGCAGAATGTGAGAAACGCACGGTGGACAATGGTAAACGTATCTCAGAAGCTGAGCAGAACGAAAAAAAGACTGTATCCGAGTGTGACAGTGATGAGATATTTTCAGGGAGCGAAACAAGATTATCACGGAAGTTACAGACGACTCGACGCAAAGCATCAGGAACGGAAGATAGTCGAAATGACAAAAAATCTAATACTGATGATGAAGCCGGTATGTCAATAGATGAGGATAGTACGTTAAAGGATAAGGATAAAAATGATGTGGATACGCGAGATAATTTCACTACCTCTCCTGTGTTAGGTACCGCAAAAGAGAAGAAGACCAGCACAGAACAATCGAGTAAAAAGCAACTAGAAGAATGCAACAAAAGTAACAACGGGACACTGATGGATAATAATAGTGATGCTAACGATGAGCAGACAGATTTAAACATCGATGTTTGTAATGACGAAACTGAAATTGAAAGTTCTCCTTCAAGAGAAAATGGTTGCGAGAAAAGGGCAGTAAAACTTGATGGAATAGGTCAGTCAAACAAAAATGATATAATCAATGAATCAACAGATATGTTTGACACATCTATTGAGGAGGCAAAAGGGAGCAGCAAGGAAGTCGCAAAAGAAACGAACTGCGATAAAGGAGAGCGTTCACACGCATCTGAAGATGAATTTTTAGATTGTCACGAAAATTTCTCACAAGATGAAGTTCCAAGTGAAAAAAAGAAAACATCTCTTTTATCTCGTGATATTGAAGAAGAAAATGATTTACCAGATCAAGATGATCAGGAGAAAATGAGGACATCTGTATCCAATAAGGAAATCCATGACAAATCGAAAGCGTCCGAAAAAATAAACACCGATGATAA